CCCTGTCCCAGATGAAGATAATCTCAGGATGATCACCCAAATGCGCTCACCAAGCTCAATGAATGCACAGAGCAGGGTGCTAAGGTGAGTATCATGGTAAGAAACACAAACCTGCTTCAACCACTTCCTTCATGAATGGGAAAGGCTGTAAGTTTTGAAGTCATGACAACCTGGTTCCACATCTGGGATCTTTATTTACCAGCTGTGTAATCTTGGGCAAGGAACTTGCCTTTCTGAGAATTAGTTTTATCATCTATAAAATGATAATGATTACACCAAAATCACAAGTTTGTGGAGAAAAATAGATGCAAACTGCCTCATATATGGGTTGGCACATAGTAATGACTCTATAATTAGTAAATACTGTCATTAAGTGTAAATAATTTCTAAAATGATTATTTTCATTAAAACAACCTCCATGAAACCTTAATGATGAATGAAAAAAGGTGATTCCAAACTTACAAAGCAGCAAAAACATTAAATGGTACCCATTATGTTGGCATAAGGCTGGAGGGTACTGCTTGAAACCTAAGTAAAAGAAATCGGCTGAATTAAATTCATCAAGTACTTACTACATGCCTCCTATGAATCTCTTCTGTAGACTAATGAAATACACTTTGCTCTTTCTAAAATACTATATTATACAATGTTGTTTTATTCCTTTACTATTCATTTGGTTATGAAAAGAAATTAGGGTGAGTACTAATACAACTCTGAAAAAGTATCTGCCCAAGATAGCACACCACCCACTGTTAGTACAGCTGCTCCACCCCTCTCCCCAGTTACACAATGAGCCGGTTTATTCTCCTTTCAGTCACTCACCGTCCCCTCCTGAGCTGCTGCCACAGCTTCTCCTGAGGGGTGAATGAGTCATCACGGTGCTTTTTCACAAGGGGAATATAAGCAGGCACGACAGCCTGGGCACAGCTCTGCACAAACTGAAACACCTCCTCCTTGGATGGCGAGTCAAGGTCATCAAAAAAGATACCCCCGATGCCCCTCCGCTCCCCACGATGGGCTATATAAAAGTAATCGTCACACCTGGAAAACAGAGCAAGGCCAAATCAGGGATCAGAGGGAAACAACAAAGGCATGAACGTCAATGTGAGTGCTTCCACTTGGAGCGCCATCCTTGACTAAGGCCAGCAGTGTCCTCACTCTTTGTCCAACTATGAAAATGAAAAAAGGGCTTTAGATGGATCTCCTGCAATTAGCACCGATGTAGAATGTACTTATACTTTTATCTGCAAAGCAAGTAGGCAATTTAATACATGTCTATCTAAAGAATATGGATATTAAGACCTTTAGTGAAAGAGAAACAAACAGCCCAGTTTTAATACTGTATATCTTGAAACAAGTGGAATCGCTGCCTCAGAAGCAACTTATACTTAGATTCCATTACATACCTACCAAACATCCTGAGTCTCCTCACAACTCTTGTTTGTTTTTTCTTTAGAGTTTCTTTCACAAAGTGTCCAATTCCACCTTTCTCCTTGCCACACATCTCTGGTACATTTCCATCTGTCCCTAATAGTTCTCCAGCCCTTCCTATGCCCTCATATATCACCATGGCAATAGAGAGACAATTCTCACCTGGGAAGAAAATTTAATTTCCCACCAGAGGATTAAAAAGCCTTGGATTTGCAAACATAGATCATCTTAAAGTTTACATTCGAAATCATTTGGAATCAAAGAATATACTGCTACCCAGTTTTTATTGCAGACATTCAAATATTCCTAAGTCAATAACTTATGAAAACCACTTAAAACTGGTATCCCAATTCTAGGGGGCAATGAAATAGTTCAACCTTCGTCAGCTAAAAAATGGTATTTAGTGAGGAACAAATATACTTTAAGTATCATGACCTACCATTTTTTAAATTTAGGGTAGAGATCTGGGCCGTGCCGGTCACAAGCCTCCTTTAGAGTTCTGTGAAAATGGACGGCATCCTCTTGGTTCAAGTACGTGGGAGTAAGGTCACTTCCCCCACCAAACCACCAATGCTTGTTACCTACCAAATCAAGACATGTAAATGTGACTTGGACTCTGGACTTTGAGATGCATCACATTACTCACTGTATCAGCAAACTTAATTTATCAGCTAACTTTATTAAGCATGAAAAGGGTGACAATCAAAAACACTGAACTGGACCCTGGCTGGCTGGGTTGTGTCATCTTGATATGCTAAGATTGTGGGTTCGATCCCCAGTCAGGGCACATACAGTAATAAAAAACACTGAACTGGACCCTGGCTGGGTTGTGTCATCTTGATATGCCAAGATTGTGGGTTCGATCCCCAGTCATGGCACATACAGGAATCAATCAATGGATGTATAAATACATGGAACAACAATGTCTCTCCACCTCCCACCTTTCTCTCTCTCTCTCTCTCTCTCTCTCTCATCAATGTCTCTCCACCCCCACCTTCCTCTCTCTCTCTCTCTCAAAAAATAAATAAATAAATAAAGAAATAAAACCAACTGAAATGAGCTCTAAATGGCCTGTAAGGCCTGGACAGGAAAGAAGTAAGAAACTAAAAAGTGAGAGTAGAACTAGGCAGGGAAATGATACACAGGGCAGGGAATGATCAAACACCACAGGTGGACCAGGCAGTGGATTTTAACTCTGGCTACCTATTAAAATCACATGAGAAGCTTAAAATGCCTCTGTTGGTCACAATTTAAAAAAAAATAAAAATAAAAGCAAATATCTGTCCCAGGCATCTATAGCTTATTTAAAAACAAAACAAAACACACAAAAAAACAGGAGATTCTTATGCTGCCTATATTAAATACCATCTCCCCTTCCCCCCAGAAAGGGTAAAAATACTTGCTGAGGGAGACAACTCAAATAGTTTGAGAATAACTATTTCATGTGCTTAGTTAGGTCTATAGGTTGTCAGTACCAGTTGCCAATTTTTTAAACATAAGCAACTTCAAAATGAAAAGTTAAATACATTGACTTTAAATGCCATCACCTACAGAGACATGAAGAGGAGTAGCGTGGCACTGCACAGGCGCTCTGACAGGTGTAAGAGCTGGCTCAGCTAACGGGATTCCTAGGCTGGAATTACACATGCATAATGAGGCAGGATCAAGTGCATCCCATCCTACAGTGCACTGGTGACTAGCAAAGTCATGCATGTGGAAGATATTTTCCAAAAGCAAGTTCTCAATTTCAACTTAATCTTGCACATGAGGTTTTCCTTTGGGTGGGTTTATATTTGCAAAGAACCCTGTGTGCACTTTAAGTTCAGGTTCATTCAACTGTTCCTTCTGTGTAGGAGGAAATATGGAGCAACCAGAGTTGAGCCAATCCCGTTTTCATGTCCAGTGCATAATCCATTGCACCTGCTAAGGAATAAGCCATCATATGCCTCCTGAGAAACCTAGTTAAAATTGTATTTATTCTCTCTCGCTGTTAGATGTTATGTCCTCTAACCTGCTTTAAAATACACATTTGGCACAGTAGTACTTTCCACAGCTCCAGACATACATACCATCAGCTTCTTCTACTTCAAAGTATCTGTAGTTGAAATGGATGGTAGGAGCATGAGGATTCTTGGGGTGGATAACGGAGCTCACACCCATAGCAGAAAATGACAATTTACCTGGAAAGTAAAACACACAGTGAGCTGCTCTCAATCACTTGGCTTGATACAAAGTACCCCCAACATGGTTTTTGGATCAGTTTTCAAAAGCTGCTTTTTAATTTGTTTCTTAAAATATAATTTAAAAAAAAAAAGTAATTGTGAACATGCTTATGGGACATATGCACCCAAATGGCTTTTTACAGAAGCAATATTTATTTCACAAATAAAACCTGTGGGGAAGAACAGCTTGCAGCAACTACTAAAGGCAACTGAGACTGGCTTACCATCTTTAGTCTTCAGATTTTTTCCTCTATTTCTCATTTGCTTTGCTGCTTCCTCAGAAAGATGTCCATGAACGACAGAAATGCTCACCCCGGCCTTCTCAAAAACATGCCCATCTTGAAGTACACAGCTGATGCCCCCACCTCCTGTTTATAGAAATGTAAAATGAGCAAAGAATGAAAAACAGAAAATAAAATGCAAAATTTAAAAAAAAACAACACCCTTGCATGAGGTGATGGGACTGGGACTTATTCTCCTCCTCTATTTTCAATATCTGTATATTTATAATTTTCAGGTGCAATAAAATTAGATAATTAGCTTAGCTTTATGACATTTGCTACTGATAGTAGGCAAATATTATTTCTTCAAATCACATAATTGAATATTTCTTCTACATTTTTATGCCGTCATCTAAAATAAATCACTGGGCACTGGCCGGTTGCTTGGTGGTTAGAGCATTGGGCTACGGACTGAAGGGTCTCCGGTTGGATTCCGGTCAAGGGCACTTAGTTCGGTTGCAGGCTCCATCCCTGACCTGCAGGCTCCATCCCTGACCGAGGGGCACATGAGGGAGGCAACCAGTCGATGTGTCTCTCTCACATCCATGTTTCTCTCTCTCTGTCCCCCCCCCTCACTTCCCCTCTCGAAAAATCAACGGGAAAAATATCCTTGGGTGAAGATTAACAACAAAAAAATAAATAAAATGAAATAAAATAAATCACCAGAACATTTTCCTTTCAAATACTACTGCTTTGGTTATGATATATGAGAGAAAACTAAGGTTAAAAACAGGAATGGATATATTTGAAAACTTTTATTATTACTGAATTTAAGAGCTCCATATTGTTTCAATTGTTTTTTTCTTAGTGTTTGTTTTTTTGTTTTGTTTACAGGCAACTAAAAAACAGTATTCGATCACTTGGGGATTTGGAACTCTAAATTGAGTGAGACCCAGTACATTTACCTATATGAGCTTTACTATTAGTAGCCGGTCTGTTTGTTTTTTAAAACACTAGAGTTACTACAAGAGTAGCTGTCATAAAGATTCATGTTTAGCTTGTTTTATTTCTAAGACTTCTTTGAGCTGGATAGGACATAAGATGATCCAGTACAACTGTATATTACAAATAAGAAAACTGAGGCACAGAAATGTAAAACACCTTCTCCAAGAACACATTTGTTTCCTGCTTTTTTAAGCACTTACATATATTTACCTCATTTAATCCTTACAATACCCTCATATATTATTTCATAAGTGAGGAAACAGAGAAAAAAAAAGTTAAGTACCTTCAGAAGGTCACACAGCTAGTCTAGTACTTGAGGTTTTGTGTCCTGGTTCAATGGCCTTCGCTTGAAAACATTACAAGATGGAAAACGCTATGAAAACCAGGTTTAACTTCACTTAATATAAATGTGGCAGGATCACAGCCCCAAACCAGCTGATAAGAAGTTGCTGTAGAAAAGCCAGAAATCCTTCAAGTTTATGATCAAGGTG